TCATAGTTAACACAATTATTTTTTATCCATTACCTTTTAATACAACTTTAATCACCAAATATTAGTATAATTTTTACAATTCATAATTATAAATATTGAGATTTAAATTTTAAATTTATTGAATATCATATTTAAAAAATATTTGTATGAATCAATTAAGTGAAATTTTAAAATTTTAAAACAAGATTTCAGGTTTGATTGTACTTAGTATGATTTCTATAGTATCACCAAGCTTTTTTTTTTTTTAATATCCAACAAGCAATGGAACTAACCCCTCATATAAGTCATGGAAAAAAATTCTTTTGAAATTATAAGGAGAAAATTTACAAATTTTAATGATGTGTTGTATTTTGATTGATTGAATCTACAATTGCTGTAATAAAAAATGTAATAATTTTTTTAAATAATTGAATGATATTAATTTAAGTAATTATAATTTTATTATTTCGTATTAAATGATACATAAACTCAAGTTGTATAATTTAAATGATATACACTTAAATATAAAAGTGTTGGGCTAGTTTTTTTTGCCTTATGGCACTAAGCAAATGGGGTATTAAAATCTTGACATGCCTAAACAACCCTGCTGCTGCTAATGAACAAAATAAAGCCTTCCCCTTCTCCCTCCTCCCTACAAGTATCTTCTAACTCTATTTTTCCTCACCATGCTCTCATCAACCTCTCTCAAACCCATCACCAATTGCCAAAATCCTTTCTTTTCTTCATTTTTGAACCAAAACCTATCTCTTTTTTCCTTTCACCCCCTTTTCCCACCTTCTAAAATCCTCCTAAAACCCATCTAAGCTATTCCAATCCCCAGCAACCCCAACCTCTACAGCAACAACTTTACTAAACTTTTAGGCCACCCCCATCTCATTGCCTGCCCAATTCCATTCCTTTGACCCGTGAATAAGAGTCCTATGTTTTGCTAATTGTGGTCATGAATAACAAAAGTATCATGTGTTGAAAATAAAATTGTGATGCAAGTATAATAAGGTAATCAAATATATCATAAAAGAAAGGTAAATGGGTGAAAAAAAAAAACCCCATGAACTAAAATTCAACATTTTTTTTATCAATTAAGCCCTTGTTAGAGAAAAGCCAGTTAATTGTTTTCGTCCAATAAAGAGCTTAATTGAATGAAAACAGATGTATAAAAGTTTAATTGAGTGAAAAAATATATGTAAAGGTTTACTTGATTTGAAATAGAAGATTTAGAGCTTGATTAATTGCAATTAAATATTAGGAACTTAAATGATTGTTAAATTTTTGTCTAAGATTTTTTTTAAACCTTATCCCTAAAAAATTCATAAAAAAATTTACATAAAATTTAGAGAAGTTAAGACTCTTTTTTCTTATTATTCTTTGCTATAGTTTTAAATCAAATTTTGCTATATATGTTTGGCTAAAATTAAGCAAATTGTTGAAAAAGAATATTAATTCAAATACAACACTAGTTTTATATAAAAATGAAGTTATAATACTTTATGTACGTGATTTCAAACGTTTAATTTTGCAAAATTTTAATATATCTTTCGTAGTTAACATAATTATTATTTTTTCACTAACTTTTAATAAATTTTAATCACCGTTCACTAGCATCATTTTCTCAATTCGTGACTAAGTCTTAAGCACGTAAATAATAATGATAAATATATTGAAAAGTAACAAACACGGCGCATAAACATGCCAATTGATCTACCCCGTAAGGAAGAAAGCTTGTGACCTATGCTTTCCAACTTTTCATAGTATGCTAACCACCATGATTTGATGAAATACAAAGCAAGCTTGTGACCTCCAATTTCCAACCTGAATTTTCCACAAATAGCATTTTGTGATTCATTGAAATTCGATAATTGTAGAAAGAAGAACAAAAAACTTGACAAAGGAGTCAAATCCACCAAGTCTGTGGAGTAAGTCCCACGGCCCGGTAATTAACACTTTAGGTCTTAGAAAAGAAAAAAAATTACAAAAAAATTACAAAAAATTTAGAGAAACTAAGACTCTTTTTCCTTATTATTATTTTTTTAGTTATAGTTATTTTATTTATTTTTTTTTGTATATTGTTGGAGCCTAAAATTAAGAAAATTGATGAAAAAAGAATATTAATTCAAATATAAAACGTGATTTTATATAAAAATGAAGTTGTATAAAAATCTATGAAAGAAAAACGTTTAATTTGCAAATTAAAATTTCGTATATCTTTCGTAGTTTAGGTGGGTTTGAAAATATAAGGGAAGTTTTTGATTGGAAACATTTGAAGCTTGAAGTAGATGAGACTCAGTATGAATTTGTTACTTGTTATAATGTCGAATGTGAGATTTATACATTTTAGAGAAGTTAAAAGATTCCTTTTTGTTTATTATTTTTTGTTATAGTTATTTTCTTTTTTTTTTACTATATTTGTTTGACTAAAATTAAGTAAATTATTGAAAAAGAATATTAATTCAAATACAACACTGGTTTTATATAAAAATGATGCTATAATACTTCATATATATTAATGTGATTTCAAACATTTAATTTTGCAAATTTTTAATATATTATTCACAGTTAACGCAATTAGTATATTTTTTTATTAATTTTCAATATAATTTTAGTTACCGTTCTTTTGTATTATTTTCTCAATTCATGACTAAGTCTTAAATACGTAAATGATAATGATAAGTGCATTGAAAAGTGACAAACACGAAGCCCACTTTGCAAGAAAGAAAGCTTGTAACCAATGCTTTCCACCTTTTCTTAGTAAGCTAACCACAATGATTTGTTGAAATACAAAGAAAATTTGTGACCTCCAATTTTCAGTTTGAATTTTCCAAAAAAGCATTTTTATGGTCCATTGAAATTCGACAATTGTAGACAGAAGAACCAAAAAGACATGACAAGTAAGTCAAGTCCACCAAATCTATGAAGTAAGTCTCACGGCCAGGTAATTAACTCTTTAGGTCTTTGAAAAGAGAAAAAAAATTAAATAATGAAAAATTAGAAAAAAATATAATTACAAAAAATTTAGAGAAGCTAAGATTCGTTTTTCTTGTTATTTTTTGCTATAGTTATTTTCTTTTTTCATTTTTGCCATATCAAATTTTGCTATATATGTTTAAACGCCTAAAATTAAAAAATTGTTGAAAAAAGATTATTAATTCAAATATAAAATAAGATTTTATTTAAAAATGAAGTTATATAAAATTCTATGAATGTAAAACGTTTAATTTTGCAAATTGAAATTTTAGTTTATCTGTCATAGTTACCACAATTATTTTTTTATCCATTAATTTTTAATACAATTTTAATCACAAAATATTAGTATGATTTTCATAAGTCCTAATTATAGATATTAGGATTTGAATCTTAAATTGAATGTCACCTCTTATAGGTGACTGTATAAATTAATTAAATTAAATATGTTGATTTGATTGTACTTGGTATAATTCATATAGTATCACCAAACTTTTTCTTTATATAACCAACAAGCAATTGAACTAGCCCCTCACATAAGCCATGGAAAAAATTTTCTCTTCAAACTATAAGAAGAGAATTTACTTAATGACGTATTATATTTTGATTGATTGAATTTACAATAGACGTGATAAAAAATATAATAATTTTTTATTATTTTGATGAGTTTTTTTTTTAATTTTTATATACAAATTGACATAATTGAACGATATTAATTTAAGTAATTATGTTTTTATTATTTCATATTAAATGTTATATAAATTCAGTTTGTATAATTTAAAAACTCTGGGTGATATATACATATATATATATTAAATATAAAAGTGCTGGGCTAGTTGAGTTTTGCCTTATGCCACCAAGCAAACGGGGAATTATTAGAATCTTGACAGGCCTAAACAAAATAGAGTCTTCCCCTTCTCCCTCCTTCCTGCAAATATCTTCTACCTCTATTTTTCCTCACCATGCTCCCATCATCCTCTCTTAAACCCATCACCAATTGCCAAAATCCTTTCTTTTCTTCATTTTTGAACCAAAACCCATCTGTTTTTTCCCTTCACCTCCCTTTCTCACCTTCTAAAACCCAACTCAGCTATTCTAGTCCCCAGCAACCCCCCAAACCTCTGCAGCAACAACTTTACTAACCTTTTAGGCACCCCCATCTCCATTGCCTGCCCAATTCCGTTCCCTTGACCCATGACTAAGTGTCCTCGTATATGTTCTGTTAATTGTGATCAAGCATAGTTAAAGTATCATGTGTTGAAAATAAAATTGTGATCCAACTATAATATAAATGAAATTGATCAGTTCCTCTCCTAACCAAAATGTATAATATGATAAAACATGACACTGAAGCAATTTTTCCTTCAGGAGTGTCTCAAATTTCTATTGAAACGTACATTATCAGTGACTAACAAAGTGGATAGAGTCCAAATTGCCATGTAGAAACATAAAAAAAATACATTACTTCATCATTCCCAGCTTTTCCATCAATTTTCTTTTGGTTGACCACGGTCTTCGATCACAACTGGTTGCAAAGTCCTCCCACTTTCTGAGCCAGCTTTTTCCATCTCCTTGACAACGCTTATCCATCCACTTCTTTACCAAACACAACATGCTTTCCATCAAGCCATGGAGTCTTCTCAGTGCATATAAAGAATTGGGAACCATTGGTGTTTGGTCCAGCATTGGCCTTTGACAAGCAACGAGGTCCGATATGTTTGAGCTTGAAATTCTCATCTGCAAATTTCATGCCATAGATTGATTCTCCACCAGTGCCATTCCCCCTTGTGAAATCTCCACCTTGACACATGAAGCTCGGGATGATTCGGTGAAATGCTGATCCTTTATGGTGCAATGGCTTCCCAGACATTCCGAAACCCTTGTCCCCAGTGCAGAGTATTTGCAATTATATTGTGGGCTAACACAGTCAAGTAATCCAGATTTAGGTCAATTAATGTCAAATTACAAATAATTATAGTGGTATCATATTCGAACATGTAGTTGATATTAATTAAGTATGATCCTAGTTTAATTCTGTATTTAAATCCATAATATGATTGGTCAATTTTGATTAATTTATATATCGAAAAGCTCATGATGGTAACAACACATCCATGGGCTTGGATTTAGGGGGATTGATTTCTTTTCCACATTAAAAACAGTTTTAGTTATAAATTATGATAGTGATTCGGTTAGCCTTCAGCCAAATTGGTTATAGTTCAATTAGAGCTTCATCTAATTCAAAATTGTGTCCAAATTGCCTTGGCAATTGCACATATTGCTCAAGGAAAAAGTGGTTAATATTCTTCTTTCCCGAAAAGAAAATAAAAAACCTCAATTGAAAAGAAAATAGAATGGCTTTACTGATAAGGATATGGTGAGATATGGACAGAAATCTTATAAATTAGAAAACATATTTTCTTTTATACCAAGAAAAAAAGAAATGAGAATACAAATTGGCGCAACGACCTTTATTTTCAAGTGTTCTTTTAAGCAAAAAAGAAAATAAAACTACTGCTAATATATGATTAATATAGATGATAACTCTTCATGAATTCAAAATAACTAGAAATTGTTATCATATATATATGTATGTATATATAGAAGAACGAAAATTTGTAGAAATGTTCAACTAGTATGTAATATAATTGTTGGCGAAAATTATACATAGCACTAAACTTTGATTGTACATCATCTCAAAGATTTACAAATTCACAGACAATATCCAACAAAAAATTTGGTCCTCCTCCACTATCTCAATTGAAAAGGGAGAAGAAACAAAAAAGGGAAGAAAAAATGTTGGTGTTTGACTCAAATATTCACCAATAAGGAGTTGCACTCTCAGATTTACTTAGAAGCTCCTCCAAATAATCAGCTCCTAAATCCTTAAACACCAGGATAATTTCCATCCCCATTTCCTTCTTTCTTGATCTTCATGTTCCCTGATCTTTTGCTCTTCATGGAGTACCTTTTCTCAATTGTCAAAGTAGGTGAACAACTTTCTTCAAATCCATAGTTCATTTCTTGAAGTGAATCATAAACTGTATCCATTGGAAAATTGATTATCACCATCGGACCTCGCATTGCGAGTGTAGCTTGATCATACGCTAGCTGTAGCCTCATCTATATCCAAGGTTCCAGGCCAAAGTCTAACACCATTCCTTATGGAATCCCTTATCTCAACTGCATATTTTCCCCATGGCCTCTTCCTAACTCCTCTATACGAAACCTCCTTTCCTGTCTCATCTTCATTTGCATTCAACTTCACTTAATGATCCTTTCTAAAACTATTACGGATGTGGTATCAAAAGTGTTTTCCTATGCTTGATTTAGGACTCCCAAAGGAACATTTCTTGGGAGTCATTTCCATTGAAAGGAAGGGTTTGGTTATGGAGATAATTGAATGATTCTGGTGAGAATTTTTTTGAGAAATATAGCAAGAAGAGGATTCAAGAGACAATTGGAGATTTGGGTAATGAAAAAATGAAGAGTCCATGCATGAAAATCAAGTAATTCTTATAATGGAAACGATTATTCTTCTTCGATCTTTTAATTAATTCACTTTGATTTTGCTTTTTGGTTTTGGTCATGGGAAATGAAATTTGAAGCTTAGTGATATATATATATATATATATATATAGTAATTACAAGCTAGGGAGGGAAAGGCTACATTATTCAAATATTTATTTTAAAAATGTAAAAAAAAAAGAAGAAGGAACAAATTAAAGAAACGATGGAAAGAGAGTAAAATTGTATGAAGATGTTATTAGCGTCCAACATCATTATTTGGTCGCAGAATCGACAGGTGAGTCAAAAGGAATACTCGTCGGGGCATGACGGCCAGGTCAAGTCAAAATTCTCTTACATCACCCGTGATGTTTCGCTTTTATGTCCTACCTATAACTCATATTTTTAGCTAATTAAAATTGTAAATCATTATGCTTAGAGTGATCAATTACAATGTTAATTACCTTATATTGATGAACATGATTGATTAATATAGTCGGGTTATAGTTAAAGTTTGTCATAATTTTATTTTTATGCAAGAAAGATTATAATTTGAGAATTAAAAAAAGAATTATAGATGCATAAATTTAAATTTTAATCTAATCTAAAGTACTTTTTAAATATTTATATAAATCAATTAGACTAGACTTTGAATTTATAAAAAGATTACTTTATATATATATATATATATACACTTTTCATTTAAATTATATGATATAATCATATTATTGAAAGGGGTTAATTTTAATTTTTCAAGTATCACTAATAAGTGAATGCTGATGAAATAAAAATTTACCTATCTAATAATAATGTATAATATAGAATAAATAATCAATATATTTTTAAAAATATTATTTTATGGTGTGATTTTAATAAAACAAAAAAATATATTTTTTCATTGAATAATTATTTCATATAATCCTTCTTTTATTAATTATGTCAAAATTTATCGTAAATGAGTTTCTTAAACTAGCATAATTGATGTTATACTAATTTTTTGAATAGAAAATAAGATGTTATACTAATTGTTAATACATACATTGGTCATTATTTTAAATGTTTTTATCCATTACTAGAATTTCATCCCACTATTTTAGGTAAGTTACTTTTCATTGTTTTTAATATATTTATAATTATTTTTAATAAAAAATAATAATAATTTTAACTCACTTGTTGAATCTTATAAATATATCAAAATTAAAAAATAATATAATTTTAACTCACATGTTACGCTTTTGTTGTTGGCTCTTTTGCTATGACATGAACTTTTATTTTTATTTTCAAATTTATAAATTATTTGTTCAAATCTATGACGTTTTTCCAATTTAGTTTAAATTATAAACATTTTAAAACTTGTAGAAAAAAGAAAAAGAAAAATACAACTATATTTTTTTATGATGACTTACGTTTGATTTTTAATTTTTTGAATTTTTTTTCTTTTTATATTTCTTTATTTATTATTATTTCGATTAAAATTTTTCAAAATTACATAAATTTGGATAAAAAAGACTATTTTGCTTGATTCATTCATGGGTTAGTAATGTGAAGTGAATTGACAAAATCAGGTTGATCAGATTCGGCCAGCTTTTATATATATATTTTTTCTCGTAAACCGACATTCTCCAATTTCTATATAATTGCAATAAAAGCTTTCACTTCCTTTGGATTTATAAAAAATTGTAGTTTTTGAAATTTTACTTTTGAACAACAAATCAAAATCATAACGAAGACTAGTATAAGAAATATTTCAAATTAGAGGATTTATAAAAAAATTTTACCTTCAAGCCATATTGCATAAAAACTTGAACATAGGTCTACGAATCAAATACATTAACACACACAATTTTATTTCATTTCAATAAATTATAACATGGAATACTACATCCATAAACCGAATACATGGATTAAATAAAAAGCTTGCAAATCAAGTTATTACATTACCAAACACACCGAAATGAGCTTCAATTACAAATAATTACATACCAATAGTAGCCCAAAACACATATAGCTTATCACCAATTTGCTCCAGTTTTTGATAATAAGCAAACCTCCAAGACCTGACGAAAACCAGGGGAGCCACTACCCCCCAAAACCCCATCACAAATCCAAGTACTACGCTTACATAAAGCCAATTCACATTAGACCTTTTCTTTCCTCCACTCCTACCTCCATTTGTAACATCAGGTGTTTCGCCATTTCTGCTGCAATTTTTAGTGACTGGAGGTCCACAAAGATGATTGCCAATGTACGAAAACCTGTCAAAGCTTTGCAGCTGGGTGCCTGATGGGATTTGTCCTGTCAAGTTGTTGTAGGACAAGTTCAAGTGATTCAAGAAATTCAAATTGGAGAAACTTGAAGGGATTTCACCATGGAGTTGGTTCATCGATAAGTCAAGAGATTCCAACACCTCCATATTGCCAATGTTCTCTGGTATCTTTCCTGTTAGGAGATTCCCTGACAAATTTAATGACCGCAGTCCTATGAGATTACCAAGTTCTTCGGGGATCTCTCCTCTGAGACTGTTAACTGAAAGGTCTATGCCGACAACAAGTCCTAGTATGGTACTGTAATCATCCTCTCTTCCTTTCATCACCAATAATGCACCCAAAAGAAACAGGTTATTAGACTCGAATGACCAGGTACTGTTTCCCACGTGTATCTTGAGGGGTTTTATGGCCATGGCACTTAGGTTACTAAAACATTTTGGAATTGCTCCTGAAATGTTGTTATAACCAAGATCCAAGAACTGAAGAGAATTATGAGCACAAATTTGATCAGGAATATAGGCTTGGAAGTTATTTGAACGGAGGTTTAGAACCACAAGGTTTAAGAGGTTGTCTCCAATCCATGCTGGAATACTTCCCGTCAATTGATTTTCACTAAGATCAAGAATAAGCATGTCAACCAAATTCTGCAGTGTAGATGGTACTTCTCCAAGTAGGTTATTGTTACGAAGGTTTAATGACAGAACACGGCGCAAAAATCCCAAGGATCTAGGAATTTTCCCAGTTAGATTGTTGTTTCCCAAATTTAAGACTTTCAAAAATTGCCAATTTTCCCAACAATTTGGAATTTCACCAGATAGAAGATTTGATTCAATGTCAAGAATGGTCAAGGGTTCCAATTTAGTTGAGGAATTGCAAAGAAAATTGGAAAGTGTTCCTGAAAATAGATTCTTAGACAAAAATAAAAACATCAAATCTGAGGGTGCCTGTAGCAATGGACCTGTGAATAGGTTGGAACTCAAGTCAACAACCAAACTCCTAGGAAAATATGAAATCTTCCCCACTAGTTGGTTGTTAGAAAGATTTAGATATTCAAATTGAGTCGAAAGGTTCCAAAACCAAGTGGGAATGACACCTGAAATTTCAGCATGGGAGATATCTAAATGAAACAAGTTCTTTTGGAATTGTAGCCACTGAGGAAATTTCGGACCAAGATGACAGTTACCTAATTCAATATTTTCACAGTGGAAAGGAGGAATCCAACTTGGATTTGGTTTAAACGTTAACATGTTGTTAGATGCCCTGAAAATTCTCAATCTTGTGAGATTAGAGAAGTGCATTTCTGATATATTTCCTTCCAACATATTATTGCTAACGTCTAAATGTTCCAAATTCCCAAGTTGTCCTAAACTTTGAGGAAGAGTTGCATTCAATTGATTGTTTGAAACATCAAGCAACTTCAAAGATAATAGCTCCCCTACCGGAAGAGGTCCGGTTAATTGATTGTACGAAACATCAAGAACTTTCAATGATGACAACTTCCCTATTGAGAATGGAATGGGACCAGAAATGGAGTTTTCAGAAAGGGAAAGGTATGCCAGATTTTTAAATTGGCTGAGTTGATCAGGTAAATGGCCAGAAACTTTGTTAGATTCAATATTTAATGACTCTAATCGATCCAAACTACATCTAGACAAACTCTCTATGATTTCTGATACCTTATGATCAATTCCGTTATTTGACAAATCCATCTCTCTCAGATTACAAAGACTCTCCAAACATTTGGGTTCTATAATTTCAAGCTGATTATGTGAAACATCAAGATGAGTAAGAGAGCTTAAGTTTCTAATGGCACATGAAAAATTACCTTGCAGGCCGACACTGCTAAGACCAAGGAATTGAAGTTGGTTGAAATTAGACAACCAGCTGAGTGTCGATGAAGAAGAGAATGAATTCCTACTAAGATCAAGAAATTTGAGAGAAGACATATTTTGAAAACCATTGGGAATCACACCTTCAACTTCATTGGAGCTAAGATCAATGGACACAAGACTACGAAGACTGAATATCCATGTAGGCACCGAAGACAATGTATTTGTGGAAAGATCAAGAACAGCAAGAGATTTGTAATTAACACTGATTGGAGATGAATCATTATTTAGATTGCAGCCTGACAAGTGTAACTCTACCAAAGAAGGAAGTTTGTGTGTTGCCTGCAGCCAATCAGTTGCTTTACCAAGATCTGCAGAACTCAAATCAAGATACTGCAGAGAAGAAAGACCAGAAACCCACTGAAGAGTTTTAGCTTCAAATAGGGAATTGTATCCAAGATCAAGGCAATGCAAATTTGAGAGATTTCCAAGCATATGGGGAATTGTTCCTCGAAAATTTGCCCGAGAAAGGTTAAGATATGTCAAACTCTTCATCGAACCAATGAATTCGGGAATTGCCAGACCTCCAAAGTCGTTATTGCTTAAGTCTAGGAAATTGAGACATTTCAACTCGATCAAAGAAGGATTTACTCTGCCCCTAGCTTTGAGCGAAAGTAAGCATCCCATTCAGCTGACCGAAAATAAGCATCCCACAGAGCAATTGGCTTATCCTCATGAGCATCCCTTTCAACGACTGGCACATCTTCAGCAGGACTTCTTGAAAGAAGCCCCAAGTGCAGCTCTTTGACGTGGCCAGTCAAGTTATTGCAGAAAACACCAAGCCACTCACAGCAATTCTCACCTTCAACCCAAGAAGATAGCCTGTTTGATTGATCAATGAGGTCTTGCTTGAACTTCAAAAGGGCTTGTCTCTCACGTTCAATGCAAAGCGCATTGGAATTCCCATTACAAAAGCCAATATCGATGGCTGCGATGGCAAGAAGAAATCCAAACAAGGAAATTGTAACCGCTCTCATGGTTGCATATCGATCCTTGCTACCAACACCGAATATATAAAGTTAAAGAAAAATATTTTCCACCACATCAAGTGCTAGGAATTTTCTTCAAAGGCCTCCAATTTAAAATTCCAGCTTGAATTTTCCTCAAAAGCAATCATACGTATAAATTCGACAAGTGTAGAAAGAATATAAAAAGAACTTGACAAGAACTTTAAGTAAACCAAGTCTATGGAGCAAGTCTCACGGCCAGCTAATTAACTCTTTAGGTTTTAGAAAACAGGAAAAAATGAAAAGTTTAGAAAAAAAATAAAATTACATCAACTTTAGAAAAAAGTTAAATACTCTTTATCTTTATTTTTTTCTATAGTTATTGCTTTTTTTTGTTAAATCAAATTTTGCTATATATTTTTAGCTAAAATTAAGCAAAATTGTTGAAAAAAGATAATTCAAGTACAACACTGGTTTTATATAAAAATAAAGTTATAATAATTTATGTACATGACTTTAAACATTTAATTTTGTAAATTTTTAATATATCTTTTATAGTTAACACAGTTATTATTTTTTCATTAATTTTTAATATAATTTTAATCACCGTTCATTAGCATCATTTTCTCAATTCATGGCTAAGTCTTAAACACGTAAATGATAAGACGAATGCATAAAAAAGTAACGAACACGGAGCACAAATAAGCCAGCTGATCTAACCCTTGAGGAAGAAAACTTGTGACCGTTGCTTTCAACTTTTGATAGTAGGCTAACCACCATGATTTGATGAAACACAAAGAAAGCTTGTGACCTCCAATTTCCCACTTGAATTTTCCACAAAAAGCATTTTATAGTCCATTAAAATTCAACAATTGTAGAAAGAACAAAAGACTTGATAAAGGAGTCACGTCCACCAAGTCTATGGAGTAAGTTGCACGGCCCAGCAATTAACTCTTTAGGTCTTAGAAAAGAGAAAAAATAAATAAAAAATAAAAATTGAGAAAAAAATAAAATTACAAAAAATTTAGAGAAGTAAAACTCTTTTTCTTTATTATTTTTTTGCTATAGGCTTTTTTTTTTAAAATCAAAATTTGCTATATATGTTTAGCTAAAATTAATGTAAAATAAGTGATGATGGTAATAATTAATGGTTAAAATAAGATATGATAATGTAAACTATATATTTTTTTTTGGTCAGTAAAAGTAAAATTAATGGTAAATAAGTGATGATGTTTATAATTAATTTAATATTATCAAGTTCAACTAATTTAAAAATAATATTTTTATGAATTATAATAAAGAAATTAAAATTTATATTAACTGAAAACCTCCCACCACTAACCCAATCAACACGCACACGTTCTTCATCCTTACCACCTTCATTTGTAACAACTTTTCTGTTGTAGTTTACACTGACCGGAGGTCCACAAAGTTGATTGCCAATGTAAGAGAACTCGTCAAAAGTTTGGAGTTAGGTACTTGATGGGATTCTTCCCCTCAAAATCAAGAGATTTTAGTATCCTCATTGTCACGCTCCAAACCCGAAGATTTAGAACTTAATAATACCGCATACTTATGAGACGAATCTTATAAGCGTATAAGGCAACAGATATCTAACTAAATTAAAATCTCCAATAATCTTCAAAATAATACTTTACAGAATCTCAAGTCTATAAAATTATACTCTTTGTAAATTAGTCGAATATACTAAAGTTTTTATTAATAAATCTTTTAGAATCAATAATAAAATACTCACTTCAAAAGTAATACCAAATTAAAGACAAATTCTAATCTTGTTAATCAAAGTAGTTGTCAAGATTAAGTTTCCTATAACGCAAATATTGAAATTTGAAAAAGTAAAGAAAAATAAAGGAATGAGTACAATGACTCAGCAAATAACTGATATCCCCTCAGTTGGATTAAGCATGCCACAAAACATTTAGGCCAAAACATTAACTAAGTGATTCAAAAATATTTTGGGTAATCTTGTGTTCAAACACATTTTCACAAATCATATTCTCAAAATCAAATTCTCAGATTACAAAATGAAATAAATATCACAAAATTATAAAATTTATTAGTCTCCTGTAACATACTACGATCACCTTAACCCTTGTAGTGTAGGTTAGAATCAGAAATTTTCCTTTAGTGCAATGAGACAAAAATATATCAGAAACAACTAGATCATTGCACTGACAATCATAATTAACCCGTTAGTGCAATAGGATAGAACAAAAATTATAATAACTCCTTTAATGCAGTGGGATAGAAGTATATCACTGATGGTACGATGAACAAAAACTACTATTCTCAACCGATGGCATGGTGAACAAAAACCACTATTCTTAATTAATGGCATGGTTTGAAACCAATATCAATATCACAAAATACATGTCGACATGGCCAACAATTAACCCCTATTGGCAGAGTCAAAATATAGTCATACTATGAGACAAAAACCACAATATATTTTCAGATTAGCCAAAATATACAAATTCAATATTTATAAATTTTTGCAAAACATAATCCATACATAGTAAATTCCATAATCATTCCAAAGCAACATTTCATATTCCAACAAACAACAGTTATATAAATATATTATTATGAAATCATATTTGAAAATCAAAACAATGTCAAACCATATTCCAAACTCATAACAAAGAAATCATATATATATTTTGCATACTCAACCCGATTTACAAAATAAACAAACAAAACTATATATATTATATATTTCAACTCTAAATATATTGAAGCTAACATTTATAGACATAAATTTCAAAGGGATATCAAATTACTTACCTGATGTGCTAAACCAAAACTTAAGCGGTAAATCACTCAATTTTTTTAATATCCTAACAATTCAAGAAATATTTAAAAATCAAAATTTAACCCAAAAACATAAATTTAACAAGGTAAACCTTCCACAGATTATTCTAAGCAAATTGGGTTATGTGGCAACCTTTTCGACAATTCGAAACTATTTGAAAATATTTTTTTTAGTATATAAAACAAATTTTCTTTTAATATAGCAAAATGCCTAAAATTGAGTATAAATATGAAATTAAGGATTAAAACATAAAAAAAATCAGTAGGAATTTAAATTTTTACAAATATTTAATTTTTAACATTTAATAGTAATCATTTTTTTTTTATAAATCTAAATATAATTTAATAGTTCTTTAACAATGCCAATAACATGAAATTAATACAATAAAAATATATTAAAATAAGTAAAAATTCATTAAAAATAATATAACTAAAATTCAAGTAATTTATAACTAAGTACATCAAATATTGGCTAAAAATAATTTTTAAAATAATTAAAAATGAGAATTTCTAAATTCTAAAATTTTCACATTCCATGATCATTTGACTTAATTTGAGCCACAAAATCTTGAATATACTACAGTTCCTAGTGACAAAGAAAAGCATTAATTTAAAGAAAAAATGTAATACTACAGCTTAGAATTTTGTTTTGGCAAAAATGATTTTTAGAAGCCTAAGTTTTGAAGTCTAAAACTTGACAAATTATCACAAACAGCCCAGATTTTTTGAGTTTTTTTATTCATGAAACCTATTTTGGGGCTTTGATTCTCTTAGCCTATAAATAATTTGAACAAACCAGTTATATCACTAGAAAGTTCACATTTCGTACTATCAAAAGCACCTAACTTTTGACCAAATTGGCCATTGGAGTAGGGAATTCTGGTGGCTCAAAATTAGGCATTTGTAATTGCAAGAAACCTCAAAAATCAGAAACTTGAAACATTAAATTCTCCTACATTACTCAACTAACACACATACAATTAGAAAGATCTTGAAGAGACATTTCCATTGGTATCACAATTTTGTAGGATTGTCACCAAAAAATTGTCGGAATATTTTTTGAAATTGAAAAAATATAAAAATATAAGTTGGAGTTTGTAGAAAATTACATAAAACATGAAAATTCTAAAAATTTTAAGCAAAATCTTACCTAAATCAGTGATTTCTAAGATTGATTTGCCCTATCTCTTCCTCTATTCTTCTTCTCAAGTATTTCTTAAAGTTTTCCCTTTTTTTCTATCAGAGAAAACTATCAACAAAAGTTGTTGATAAGTTTTCTTTTTATTTTCTTCTCCTTTATTTTTTTTTAACCAATGATACTTATGGGTTGGGTCACTGATATAATAACTTGGGCTTGGGTATTGCACTTATGTTGTCAATGTGGTCAGGTATCTTTCCTCCCAAGGAATTTCTTGATAAATTTAACGATTGTAATCTTGTGAGACTAGCTTGTTCTTTAGGGATCTCTCCAATGAGATTGTTGTACCAAAAAGAGTAATGTCATACAAAAATAGTACTAGGGAAAAAACATAAAGGTGAGTTTTGGTGCAAAATTTCATATTGAAATGATCCTCTTATATATATAATATATATTAGTAAAGTAGACCCTATTCAAGGATCGAGTTATCTGTCTAAACTCGAAGGTTTGCTCAAGTTTTGAAAGGGTTTGGATAAAAAATTAAAACCTGTTAAACATGGTTGGAACATAATTTAGAA